TGGGGATCCAAAAGAGAATGAGTGACCAAACCAACATCCAGATGCAAAAAGCTATGCCTTATGCCCTCTCCAAACCCTCAACAACTGGTGAGGTTAATGTCATGTAAATCATGCTTCTAAACACCTACAGAAAGATCAGTGCTTGGTTGGTGACCCCAGCCACTGGACTTCAGCAACACAAACCACACCAAGAGATCAGGGCATGAGCAAAGTCAGGATATGAGGTTTAAGGTCACACCAAATTGCCGCATGTAACACCATATTCCATGTAGATAATGGTATCACTCCTGCAATAGAAATGTAACTCTCTGGCCTGATTAAAATCTCATCCTCCCCTGCTTTAACTGGCTCTTTAGTTAAGATACAGACCATAAATTCTCATCAAATGAGCAACCAGTTCAAGTAATACTTAATCTTCAGTGGTGCTTGTTGCATTTTGTCAGGTATTTGACCACTAGAATTGCAGGTTCAACCTATTCCTTCAAGATGAGGTTTTACCTTATCCACTTGATGGCACATATACAGAAATTGATTATTTATATCAACTATTCCATAACTGAAAGCTGTTCCTGAGATTTCCTCTGGTTCATTTATCAGCACAAGCAGCAGAGAAAGCTAAGTCATGTGGATGCTAAAGGCTCAGTGAGAGAGCAGAGTGCTCTGCAGTGTGCTTCTCAGCTGCTCGGATTCAAAGCACAATATTAAAGTAACCATACCTGTGGCCTTTTTGACTTCTACTGAACATGAAAAGGGATCCCAAGGGTTTAATTTCATAGGTCTGTGCAGTATTATGATATGGAGACTCAGGATTAAAGCTGCCAGAGGGGAGACTGAGCTGAGCTCTTAGGCAGAAGCTCTTCCCTGTGAGGGTGCTGAGGCGCTGGCACAGGGTGCCCAGAGAAGCTCTGGCTGCCCCATCCCTGCAGTGCTCAAGGCCAGGTTGGACACAGGGGCTTGGAGCAAGCTGCTCCAGTGGAAGGGGTCCCTGCCCATGGCAGGGGTTGGAACTGGGCGAGCTTTAAGGTCCCTTCGAACCCAAACCACTCTGGGATTCTATGAAGACACAGAGCTCTCATTAGTTGAAATCCTGTTGACTTACAACCAGCAAAGCTACTGAAGGTCTGCTTGCACCTAACTAGGTAAAGTTGCCATTATCATGCTAAAAATGATTCTGTGGGGTCCCCAAAACCTGAAGAATCATCTGTCTCATCCATCATTTCTGCACTACCAAGACTGATTTGTGGTTTGCTGCTAAACTTAAAGGTGGTGGTCCAGCCAACACCACTGAAATATGACTGAGTGCCATTCTAATACAGCAGGTAACAGTGTATGCTCATTTTTGACACAGAAAGGGGTCGTGGTGATGGGGAATGCAAAACCCACCCTTATTCTTGGATGCAGCAGACATGATGCAGTTCTGCTTGAAGGCAGCAGCAATATGAACTGAATTACCAAGTGTCCCAGTTCTGAGGGCCTGGGATATGGGCAGTTATGTGTTAGGAGAACTGCCAAACTCATTTCAGAGCAGTCAGACTGCAGAAACCTGCAGTCAGTAATGATCTGGCCTTGATGTGAATTGGCAGCAGATGCTGATGAAAAGCATTTTTCCCCTGTTTGGAACATATCTGATTGCAAGTGCCCTCAGTCAAGTAAGGTCCTGAACTACTTACTGCTCATTTCTCAACACATTACAAACCAGCAGTTCATTATGTGGTGTATAAAGTGGCATTGCAAACAAGATGCCTCCTTACAGTTAACTTATTCCTAAATCATTATCCTTGGCACAATTATTGCTACAAACATTTCTGTAGCTGATTTAAGCTCTGCCAAAAATAGTTGGAGCAGCGTTTAAAATTAGCTTCATTTTGTGTGTATACATCTATATATATTTATAATACACTCTTTTTGCAGGTCTCCCTTTTCCTTACCCCCATTGAAAGGCTCAGATTTCATTATGTAAGTCTAGGAATCCTTCATATCCTAAGGAGCACAAACATGGTGGTGCCACCTCCTGTCCTTTGTATGTTGTATCTTGGGGGCCTGCACTGTGAACACAATGGAGATAACAGAGAAAAAGTAGAAGAATGAGGTTTTAAGCTTGTAGGAAAAGGTTGTGCTCTAGGAAAGAACAGTTACACATTGATTTATATATATATACAAGGAGAATAAACAGCCATTGGAATAATCTTCCCAGGGAAGTGGTGAACTTCCCAGTGTTGGACACTGTTAAGACAGGGTGCTGGGCATCTTGTCTAGATCATACTTTGCTAGAAAGGTTGGATCAGATAATCCTTGAGGTCCTTTCCCACATGGGATTCTATGATTTAAATGGGAATAACAGCCATCAGAAAACCACTGAGTTTTCAAGGCACTGACATGAAGCTATAGCAATGAGATGAGCTGCTGGACTGTTCTGCAGCACTGGGGAACAGCCTGAGTGCTTTAGGAAGCAGAGTGCTCTGCTCCAAATAACTGCATTCCCATGGGGATGAGACTGTGAAGCCGAAAAGAACATTACCATTTGATGGAGGTAAAACTGCAACAAAACAGATGACTTGTGTATAAACAACACTCATTACAATACCACTATGACATGTCTAAAACCTAACCCTTTCCCTATTAGCCCCGTTACAGCACACAGCAGCTGTAATGGTAAAGACGGAATCATTCGGAGCGAATACCTCAGAGCTGCACCACCTCTTATTGAAGCTATCATTTTAAAGCACTTTTACCACTTTACTGAGGGACATAAATCACCAGGCTCCGAAACAGGAAGTGCAATTATGTGAACACTGTGGCTTCCAATCAGTTAGCAATGAAACTGTGTCAAGGCTATTAAAATGATAAACATTATCGTGGCTCTTTTTTTGCCTTCTCACCAGGGAGCATTAAAAATACATGACAAAAATGCAAAGCAGCCTTCAGACACTTCAACAAACCTCACAGCGTTGGTGGCAAGAGCCCCACAAGCACACTTTAGATCCTGACTGTATCTTCAGTGCACTCTTTCCGACTTAAAATGAACTTGAATACATTCTGAGGGCAAGCAGGTCTAACTTTGCTTTGGTTATGATGCTATCGCACCGTTGTACGCACCAGCTTAGCGCAGCACCACTACCTCTCCCTGCTAAGCTCAGCTATTCCAGCAGACAGCACTTCCTGCAGTCATGCCACTGAACCTCTCCCCCCAGTTATCTGCAGATCTCAAGTAAATGAGAGCCTCAAGCTTTTGTATCCACTTACGTATTCTTTCCTACTCTTCCATTCTCCTTGTCCATGCAACTTAGATCGTGTCCTGTGTAACTGTAGAAGGACAAGAGGAAAAACCTTAGTGTTCCCTTCTCCCCAGTTAGCAACTAAGTTGTACCCCAGCTTCTCTTTCCACTCCCCTCCAATTTCTTCTATAGTTTAACAGCTTTCAGCCTTCAAATCTTACTGTCAGCGTGTTAAGACTTGTGCCTGGAATCCCAGGTGTATTTCCAAGCAGTGCTCCCAAGAAGCTTTTGATGGAGGGAAGAGGAAAAACAAAATAATGCAGAAAAGGACACAAGAGACAACTTCAGAGCAGAGTTTCTGTGAACTTTGATTAATTCCAAGGGGAAAGCAGGTTGAACCTAAATCATGATGTTTGCACAAACCTCTATCAGTTAATCTAGCAAGCTTCATGCAGCAAAATACTTCAGTGTCTGTGTGCAGCATCGTTTCTGTTTCACTCCTTATGCATATGACACCAGCCTTCTGGAGGGCGTATCACTGGGTAAGAAATTATAGTGAAACACAAGGTTTTAGACTTAGCATTTTAAATAATGCTTGTCACAGCCTCCCATCTACAATGCACTAGCCTTCAGATGTGTCATATGGGTAAGGGACACAGCTCCTCTCAGGCGTGCAAAACACACTGTCAAATCATCCCTTGTTGTACATCCACTTTCAGCTTCGCCCAGCTCACTCCCTGCTGACTGCACCTCCTGAATTGGGTTGGGTGAGTAACAGCAAGGACACTCAGTACTCCCTAAAGGCTGTTACATTTTGGTGTACATGGTGGTCAGGGTCCATTTAACTCACAAATCCACTTTCAAGCCTTCCTGTCCCAGTGGGCTTATTTTCCAGGTTGGTTTCTCTTTGTCTGTGACAGCGTCACCTTGGCTTTGACAACAAAGTTTATTAGACTTGCCACAGTGCATGCACAGGGGGCATTAAAGCATTCGGTTCATCTTTCCTCATCAGCATACTTCACCCAAAGCAGCATCTCTCTCATACATAAGGCTACTTCAGTTAGTTTGTGAGGGAAAAAGAGCACTGCCAAATTTAACTACTAGTATTGCAGACCATATGGCTCAGTATCCCAGTTTCCTCTGGCTCAGCTCTTGTTATTATGGATTGTTTTGGCAACTGGAGTTAAGAACACAAGACAGGTTTGTAAGAGAAATCCAGCAAGAGAACCAAATTCCCAGGGAGGGATGGGAAAGGGCAAAAAGAGCACACTTTAAATTAAGCAGAGATCAGATGGGGGAAGATAGCCAACCCCCTAAACACAAGACCATAATCTTCACTTCAACTGATAAGAAATTGGCCCGATTATCTCAATTTCTGGTATATTTGGCACTGTTTAACAGCCTCCTCTTTTAAAGCTTTCTTGCTACTCCTGCTACCTTCTTCAAATGATATTTAAGTAAACACTCTCTACTGTGAAAACTGTCATTTACTAAAGCTATATTCTCTGCTAATGAGTTACTTCCGTGCCACTACACTAAGGCCATTACGGGTGGCTTTTGCCATCCAGTTATAAGGTGTGAAGATAGATCCTGCAGAACAGCTTGGCTCTCCCTCCTCTACAGCAGGACTGGGCAAGATCACACAGCAGACCTTTGACTTTCTCCCTTTAGTTCTGGAGAAGGTAACATACCACATGAGCTGAAACAATGATCTACTTCGGGTGCTCATTTTGCTCCTGTCATTCTGTGCTTGAGAAGGAAACACATGAAAGACCTCCAGAGTCCTTAAAATAAAAAAGGTCAAATATGTTTATTTTGGCACAATTTAAAAATATACAAATACATTAAATATCAGGGGTCATTAAAGCCAATTTCTTAAAATATATAGGTAGGGATTATTATTTAGGAGGGAGATGGAAACCAAACCACCACATTATATATCTGACAGTGCAAACGGATGAGAAACTGTTTAGACCGAGAGTCTACTGTGTCAAACAATAACAAAAGCTGAACAGTTCCTGAAACACAAGGAAAATAGTAGAAATGTTCCATTTAAAAGAGTTTGTTGGCTGGGACAAGAGCATGGAAGGGGAAGAGAGATGTTATCATTGAGACTTGGCTGCACAGGAGTTCGAGCATTAAACTCAGTTACAATATGCACTTGAGGATAAGAGTTCAGACAGTACAATGACATGAATAATCCTTCAATAATTTATGTGTAGAAAGAATATATTAGCAACTAAGCGACACAAGAATGCACTATCATTGACACACTGGCAAGCAGAAAGTCCCTGCTTTCAAAGGTGTAGTTTCTTGGTATTATTTGCATAGTTACTCCTTTTTCCTTAGTGGTTAAGGAAATATTCAGCAACTAAGTTCAGGAAAAACCTATGACCTCCAGACATCATTTCTACCTGTGGAAAATGGCAGCAGCACAGAGATAAAAGACATCAAAATGACAGAAACAAAACTGCCACTTCCTGAACTTGGAAGATAGGAACTAAAAACACATTTCAGACTGAAAGGGCCTCAAAATGGCATTGTCTGCTGCCTTCAGTTTTGTCAAGTAGAACAAAAACTGTACTTATCATTGGGAAAGACAATCTTAAGTTTCTTCATACAGCAATTCAGGCTTTGTTTTTGGCATGGGGGCCTCTTCATGGTTTGTTCGTTATCGCAACTCTTTGCCCTAGCTTGTTCGGATGCTACAAGAGATCTCATTACTTTGTGAGGGGAGAGATAAAAGTCAGTACAATCACACCGAACCTTACATAAACCCAGGTCTCTTCAATAAGATAAATATATCTCCTCCCATTCCAGTTCTCATCTTTTAGCCACTGAGGAAAGGGAATCTGGATCACAAGGTTTGGACTCTCCATATGGATGTCATGTCAGCTCAAGACAGTTCTGTTCACATTTTCCTGAAAACAAGAACTGACTGTTCCACTTTATGTTCATGCCAATGGATGCTGATGAAGAGCTTCCAAGTGATTTATTTTAGGAGCACAGCCCCACAAGGGAGTGCCAGCTAAACCAAAACGGGCAACAGCAACACAGGTAGGTGGGAATGCACAAGCTGCATAGTTAGAATTTCACATATGGTGACAGTGACACTCGGACCGATTTAGCAAGCTCAGGTTTTTCACTCAGTTCCCCTGTCACCCACTCCTATACCCATACCAGTGTGCCCATTGCACTGATACAGGTGTCCACATGGCAGCAGAGTCAACCACATCAGGAAAAGTTGGTCAAAGATAGTCTAACCGAAAAAATACTACTTTAATTTCCTGCTGAGGTGACTCCTCAGCCACACCACTGGCATAGGATGGGCAAGGACAAGCATGAAAGGAGGAGTTATTTAGCTGGCACTTCCAACAAGGAAATACTTGTTGAACTCTGTCTTAAGGTGCTGGCCTGCACATCAGGCATGTTAGTGAAGGGCTTGACCAAAGAAACTCCTTATTGCATTGGGAGAAATTCACCTGACCTCTCCAGTTCATCTCAACGCTCACTGACGTGTCTAAAGGATGCACAGCTTCCATGCAGGAATCTGGGTTTCCCTTCAAGTGCTGTGTTAAGGGAAGGAAGCTAGCAGAGACAGTCTTGGCAGCACACACATAGCAGCCTATCAGTTACAAAGCCATAGCAAATGGCTTTTTATCCAAGGACTCAGCTGAGGCCAGATGGAAAAGCTTCCCAACAAATTCCCACACGTGGGATTGGACCCCCATACTGACCATGGCCTTCAAAAGCACCGAGAACGAGAGTATCTGGACAGTGTGTCTATATTCACAGTTAAAAACCAGGGTCAGCTATGTCAAAGGCTGAAGAGAATGCTTCAGGAGGCATTTTTTGCTTCAAAAGGATACTGAATGTGTTGTTATAGTGTCCTAGAACATTATAGCAGTGGCACTTAGTGTCAGCATGTACAAGTGGGTCCTTCAAACAAGTCCTCATCCTTGAGTGATTCCAGTATTTTCTGTTAGCCTGCAGCACCAAGACATTGAGCTCTGGGGACACAGAACACATCACAACACAGGAAGAAGAACAACTTGCCAAAACTGGAAGTGTAACAAAGAAAGGCAGATTCTTTATAAAGGTTTCAAACACAGCCTCTGTAGGAGACAAATGAAACCACAGAGCTGGGATAGTGCATTTCAAGATCACCAAAGCAGTTCACTGAACTGGATGTAGCCTGTCATCAGTGTCTTTGCATTAGTTCATTTCTCTGTTAACATTTGGCACAATCCCTTTTGACACAGTAATTTGGCTTCCATTTAGGTCAGCTGCTTGCGATGTTTTCCTGGCACTTCAGTGGATTCAGAAAGAGCTTCTTTCACACTGTGTACACTTATCAAGTCCTCAGTCAAGAAGGAAGGCTAAACATTGCTGACCCTGGTTTCGGAAGAAGAGATCATAGCAGCAGATGCAGATGTCACTAGTGACCGCTCCCGTCTGACATATCGTGGCTTCCGAACTGAAAGGGTGGGCACAGAAAGATCATTAGCACCTGTATTAGCATGCCTTTATCATCCATTCATACCACCACAAGCAATCCAACACTTCCCGAGTGACCAAAGTCACTCTGGACCTTATAAACCCCAAACACATACTAAAACCAAACCGCAAAACCCCTACATAGAGCTGATGTGGCAAAAGGCCACAAATCCACTTGTTAAGCAAGCTTCTAATAGACTAATAAATAAGGTGCTCGTTTCAAACTGGCATCTCTGTTATTTAGAATCATAGAATGGTTTGGGTTGGAAAGGACCTTAAAATCACCTAGTTCCAACCCCCTGCCATGGGCAGGGACACCTCACACTAGACCATGTTGCCCAAGGCTCTGTCCAGCCTGGTCTCAAACACTGCCAGGGATGGAGCATTTACCACTTCCTTGGGCCACCTGTGCCAGGGCCTCAGCACCCTCACAGTAAAGAACTTCTTCCTTGTATCTAACCTGAACTTCCCCGTTTCAGTTTGAACCCATCACCCCTTGTCCTATCACTACATGAAGAGTCCCTTCTCCAGCATCCTTGTAGCCCCCTTCAGATACTGGAAGCTGCTCTGAGGTGACCACACAGCTTCTCTTCTCCAGCGTTTACAGTACATGCAGCTTTCCATTTACAGCCCTAACAAAAAGCTCCACAACTGGACTTTCTTAATTGTAGCACCTTGATTAAGAAAGGCCCATGCACACATGAGAAGCAAGACCAGGAATGTAGCTGAACTCAGAAGGCCATTATTTCTTAATATCTTAGAAGACTGGGTCAGTCTCACCTGTTCTGTCACTATCTGGAAAGTTCAAGCACACAGACAAGGTATTTTACTGTATGGCCCTGGCTGAATAAATCCACTTTCCTACTCACTCTAAATCTACACCATTTTCTATCATTTTTTTGCCTGCTTTTCAATATGAGGTGAGTAAAAAGGAAGCCAACAACAGTTCCTCACCTGAAGAAGATGGGGGAGGTATCATGGATGCCTGCATAACAGAAGAATGAGCAAGTCAAACAAGGAACCTTTTGCCTTCACAGTCTTTCATTACAAAATACAGGAACATTTTAGGGTTCTAGCACTATTTACTGTGTAAATCACTGGAGAAAGTAGCTCAACAGAGTCTGTATGGTCAGTATTTATCTTTCACTTTTTTCCCCAGTTTGGACAAAGAACCCCAAAACATCTTTTATTTTTATTTCAGATTAAGTAGCTCCCTGATAAACTGTTAGAATGTGAAGTTATGATGTACTTGATGTTTTATGCTTGCTTGCTCCTACTGGAAGGGCAGAATTTACTTACTGTTTCACTAGGCTGGAGAACAGATGCTAAAAGAGAGAGAGAGAGAGAGACTAACCATCATTAATCTAGAAGGCTAGAACTGGTAGTGTTCTAAACATACATGCATGCAACAGAGCAGTTCCATTGTTAAAATAATAGTTTTGCAACAAAGACTATCAAACCAGAGCAGAACATTCAGAAATCCCATTAGTAGGATGGACTTCCTGTAGGAATCCTTTCAGGATTAGAGGTAAAGGGTTGCAAAGTTCTCCATGTATGACTTATTTTGCTTGCAAAGAAGGTAGTCACAGCAATAGCTTTTTAATGTGAAGCCTCTTCAATAGGAAAAACAGCACTTGGAGCCAACTGCCAGGCAGTACAAATATTAAACAACTGAGCAGTGAAAGATGCAATCCTTTTATACAAGAGGTTGCTGACTTTATTTGCCATGTGACAATCATTCTCTAGACAGCATGAAAGCTAACATGATAACAGGCAGAGAAATGTTTCTAGTGCTTTTCCTTCAGAGGACATCAGTGCTTTAGCTTGCTGGGCCAGAGTGCACTATCAGTACAAAATGCAGCTGTCAGACCAGTATCACCGAAGCCTCAGAGATCTGGTGTCCTGACAGCTTCAAAATGTCATAGCACAACAGCTCCTGGCCCACTTAAAAACTGAAGGAGAATCTTGTACTAACTGTATTTACCTGAAGACACGCACCAAAGCAACCTAGGGCTGTCAATATGGCAGTTCTGATTAGGATACTAGCAGTTCCTGTGGCACTACTGATCAATTTAGACCTTTAGTAGCTACTTTGACATGAAACATCACACTCCTCACAGAGACTGGGAATGTGATGATCCATGAAGTTACTATGACTGAATACAATACTATTAGCCAAACAATTGAACAATACTGCTCTACCTACACCCTTTTCTCTTTTTAAGCTTATTTCTATTATGACAGGCTAGCTTCAAATTCAAAGTCTTGTAAGCTGTGAAAGAAGATAACAGAAGGTGTATTTATTTAGCAGACCTAACCAGTAAACAGCTTGCTTTCAACAGAAGGAGCTCTAACACAGCAAATGCTGTGCCACAGGTTGTCATGGGAATCATTCAAGGGGAATACAAAACTGTATAGAAGGGGTGAGACGGAGTCATAGATCAAACTCAGTTTCACACAAAACACTGGGCAGAATGGAGACATCACATCCCACTATTTGCTCACCATCTCCTAGAAACTGCAGACCAGTAAATTGTGGATGCATAGAACAACTTCAAACTGAAGCATCTGAACAGGCCAGATGTCTGCATAAAGTCTTAGTGCCCTATAGCTAATCACATTCCAGGTGTTCTTCCCCTAGCTTTTCTGTAGTCACTTTGGCATGAAGTCAGCTCGCTGTGTTTTAGTTACATGGCTTCATTGCCCATAAGAGGGATGGCAGAAATCAAAATAAATTTCACTAAAAAAAGAAAAGCTAAGGGGTGTTTGCTTTAAAAATAATGAGGCAGTTGACTCTTCCAAGCCCCAGTAGCTCCTGCATCCAGAGGGCAAACACAGGTGAATGAGGAGTGCAATAATGAGGAACCTCACATTCCATTCCCTTTCTCTCACTGACACATCCATGGTAAGTACATTGCCCTTTAGCATTACAGTTCCCTTCTCTCCAAACCAAGAAAAACAACTGTTTTTTGTAAAGCTTTATAGATACCTGGCATTTTGTGTACTGAAATAAACAAATAGTATTAAGTTCCATAATAATGCCCTCTGTGCAAACAGCACTCATTGATTCCTTTCCTCCCTTTTTGAAATCAGGTATCAGTGACAACTAATGTCAAGTACTGTACTCTGCAAGCCTTTGAAAGCCATAGCTGTATTAGTGAGAGATACTGTGTGATATGCACCCAAGCACAGGGAGAAGAGACATCTTAAGCACTGCTGTGAAAACATGATACCATAAACACATAGCAGGGGGAAAAAAAGTCATTAGTTTGCATTGCTTCGGATGATCAAGAGACAGCAGTAGGTACAGTAGAACACTGCCAGGAAGAAATTGAAAAGGTTTTCAATTGAGAAACTAAGCAAAAGCCAAAAATGTAGAGATTAAATAGACAATTAGAGGTATTTTACCTTTATTTCTTCTGTAGAAAACGTTAGGAAGTTTATTGGCACGTTTGAGGTAGAAGAAAGAAGCAACAGAGAGAATCAGGAATACACTGATGAAAAATGTCCCTAAGATGAGAGAGGCTGCCACTTCTGGGCCCCCTGTACAGAGACAAAATATTTAAAGAGAGAGAAAAAGAGAAAACAGACCATTATTCACTAGAAATCTCTTCTAACAGAAGGGTTAAAGATATAAAACACGTTCCTGATATTCACAGGAGGGGAAATAAAAAGCTGGTGGTGTGTTGTTTTTTAATATACAGACAGACCTCACTGAAACCCTTGCAAAGACCTTTCAATACTCATTTCATTCGATGAACAACTTCCTAGTGCAACCTGCCAAATGTCAGGGAAGCCTCAGTCCCTACTTTTCTGAAGATACCCACAAATTCTTAATCCATCCTTCTGTTTCTTTGATATAACTTTTGCAACCAGTGCTGGAAGGCAGTCAACATTAATACTGTTCTTAAATGAAGTCTCCTAAAGACAGTACCTGTCAACAGACAATATACCACTGGTACAGTACACCCGATATTATGTTTTCCACAAGTGACTGATACAGAAACCATCCCCATGAGACAAACACTGGCAAAAGGTGCCCTCCCTCACCTCTATTCTGCTTCCCCTGCTTCAGAAAATGCCCTGTGTATTTATTCTGCTGCTTTATTTATTTATGATCCCAAAGAGCAAGTATTTTAAGAAACAAAGGTTGTTCATGATCTTGTCACAGGCAAACTGGGACAACAGATCTGACAAGCTCTGCTTGAGAAGCCTTCATTCTGAAGAGCACTAGATACTTCCAGTCAAGTATAGATTCATGCCAGGACAAACGTTAGAAAGGCATCAGCAGCATCCAAGTATGAAGCTAAAACAATCATGATTTAGCTTTCCTTTTTAAGAGCACTGACCTAAATCACCTCATTTGGCATCTTATCTCTTGCAATGCTGCTATCTAAATAGTCTCAGTTTGTATTATTCTTACCAGTGTCAAACAAGCATTTTTAGGAGATGAATTAACAGAAGTGAGTGGTCAGCAATGATAAAATCAGCCTATAGGAAGACTAACCAAGATGTAAAACTTGGGTCACACATTGCCTCACTCCCAAAACCAAAGCTCTTGCAGCATAAGGTTCAAAACTCAAGTTGTGGAGTTTCATAAATCACTTCAAGATCACTGGGACAAGATGAAAGACCCATTCAGTAATACACAGTTACCTCAAAATTCAGCTCTAAGACTTACAAAAGATTCTGCTGAGAACAAGCCAGAAAAAGGAAAAATGGCTTTTACATTTAGATTAAAGCCTATGCTATAGAAAAAACCATAACTTGTTTCAAATGCAATGTCATGAAGGGGCTGGTATGCAGTGAATAATCACAAAGCCTGCTCTCAATAGCTGTTTGCATTTACTCACCTATGTTCTGGATGAAAGGAGTCACGGTGCTTATATTCATTTGGAAATTCATTCCTCTGATCCCAACTGGAATCAAAGAGAAGTTTTCTTTCAGTAAAATCTGACAAACGCTACAGGTTTGTTGAAAGTCTCAATAAAAGGCTATTATATTTCTGAGTAATTATTTGATATTGTGTAAGAATCCTGATTTCTCCCATGAAAAAAAATCATACTTTACAGTATTGTTGAGAATTTCAAAAGAAAGGAGCAAACAAACATCATAAAGTATCCAAAAAGAAAAGAATTCACTTGTGCATTTCCCACTTAGAAACGAAGTTTCTTATCTCTTCCATCAGAAATGTTTACAAGGAAGTGAATGGTTCTCACCTCAAAGAACACACACTAAATGAATCCAACCTTCTTAACAGAGATTTTTCAAACAGCTCAAGTACAGTCTGAGCTGGTTTCTGCTCTGGAAAAGTCTCCAACAGCAACTGCCTTTTTCTTACAGCAGAGATTAAAGCAGCCACAAAATTCATGTTCACTTTATGCCTGGCACAGGTCATACCCTGTAAGTTGAATCATTTTGATGTTTTCACTTTTTAACGTTGCATTTGGCTTCACAGATTAGGTACTTTAATACATATCAAAAGCTGTATTTGTTTCCCCCCTTCTAAACTCTTGGAATGTTTCCACTCTGCACAGTTCCTGCAAATCAAAGTTTCCATAGGTTTTGTTACATGTTCAAAAGCTCTCAGTTAAGTCAGGACTTTGGGAAAGGTTGAAGTGTTACAAGGGAGAGGGGAAAAAGTTAATCTGAATCCTTTGATGCCTTCTTGAACACTCTTTGCAGGATCACACATGCAAGGAGAGATTGCAGTACCAAAATCCCCCCCTTCAAAAGAAAGGGATGGTAAATGACTCACTATTTCTGCATTCAGTCAGATTGTAAACAGATGAAACAGGAAGGGTTTCATTTTTGCATTTAATGCAGCTGCTACTACCATCCTCATTCCATTGTCTGTAACAACCTGCATGAGAATAAGATGTACAGAGGTGTGAAACAACAAAAGCCACCCTGGAGTCTTCAGAAAGAGGTAGAGGCAACGAACTCCCTCTGTCTGGTTGACCAGTTACAAACATCTCCTGCTTCCTATCATGTTATACAAGTTAAAAGGTTTCATTTCAAAGTGCTTATTCCAGGACAGATAGAATCTTTCAAGGGCCTAAAAGGAGAAAGAGTTACAAACAACTCCCAGAGGGGAATTTCAACATAGCTCCATTCACTGCCTCACATGTTTTAATTTCAAGAAGTGTCTCACAACTTGTAACTACCCTCAATAGTAAAGAAAGCAACATAATTTTACATTTTCAGAGGTCATCCACTGTCAAAACAAAATTTAATGCCATTTTAATATACTGTATCGAAAATAGGAGTAGGCAGGGGCAAAGATGCTAAGAATCAGTGTTGTTGGAGGAAGAAAGATGCTGAGGGACCTATTGTCAATCACTTGAAGCTATAACCACAAATACTGCTACAGTACAGTCTTTTCCCCATGCCTCAGTCTTCTCAAGTATTATACTGTTTGTTTCACTTTAAGGAGAAGCTAAACCTGTTCAAACTATTCCGTGACAGATGGCGAGTGGTTTCTATCAGTCACCCTACCATGCAGGCTGGAAACTGATGAAACTTTCATCTTGGCCTGTGTCTTCAATGTTCAGCTCTCTCAATTTACGCTTAAATGCACATATTGCTCTGTCTTTGTTAAGACAAAGTAAAAAATTAGGCACATCTTCAATAACAACTTCATCTAATACAATAAAGCTGTGGTGGTTTCACTTGAGGTTTAGACTTGAGACATGAAGATTAGAAGGATATTCCTACTAGATCATATTACAGTCTTCATTTAAAGAGAGAAAAACTTCCTGTGCTGGCTGAAATCCAGTTCTATAGAGCCTTGAGCCAAACTGGTATCAATTATTCCATAAAGCAAACCATTAGTAAGGTACCAATTTGAAAAAGCTCTGCTGCTATGTTTTCCTTAGAGGGAAGCAGCACGTTTGATGCTCACAGTAATAAATCACGTCTGACATTTAATCTAAACATGAACAGATCCAATGTAAAGGAAAGACTTTCTATAGTAATAGGAAGGAAGGATCAAAGTAGTTAGCTGACACCAAAGGTATTGGCAGATTATCAGTTCACAATAGGATTCAAGAGAACACAATCCCATAACCTGGAGACAGTTGACTACACCATATCTAAGATAATTTAGAAGCAGAAATGAACGCATTAAATGAAGCAACAGGTAGAGAAGCTAACAACCCAGTGAACATAGGTTTAAAATGCTTTAACAACCGCCACAAGGAAATGACTGAACCCAGAAGTGGACCTCAATTTTAAAGCCACTAATTCTTCACTCACTTTTACTCTGTCATTTGAAAGAAAATGGCATTAAAAAAAGAGCTCACCCTTTTGCTACTGCTGGAGAGTGGCAAAAGAAGTCTTCCACTTCCTTTAGAAGAAAAACAACTCTACATGTAAGGCTCAAGGAGGAGTGAGGCATTCTGTGCTAACGAAGCAATACCAGTGTAATTCTTAATGCTCCCTTCAATAGGCATTACAGCATTTTTGCTTTTATGCTCATTATAGGAGCTTTTAGGGCTTTTAAGCATTTACAACAGCCCTTACCACAATCCAACTGCACACTAAATAAAAAAAAGATAGAGAATAACCTTAGTAATAGTTGTCTATTCTCCTTACCATGCAAGGACAACATTTGTGAGTCATAGAGGGCTTTACCTTGTGTATACAAAGGAAGAAAGACTTCAATAGGTACATGCACTAATGATTTTTGGTTTTACTCCCCAGTTAACCAGGTGCTGCATTTTGGTGTTAACTATCAAAACCCATGTGGAATTTTATTAAACATTGCCACACCATACCTGGACTGCACTGGTTGGATACTGGACAGGAACTGTTGGAATCCAACATATCCACACAGCATTCAGTTTCTGAAACCTAATGAAGGAAATTACATTTCACACAGTTCTTCAGTTTACTAAAATGCTTCAACAACACCAATCTACAGAGAAATAAGCTGTAACTGCAGGTAAAACGTGCTGTAACTCTCTTGCTGCACTAAGCAGCCATACAAGGAGAGAACAAGCTAGATACACCGTCAACCTGATTCTGACCTGGCTGCTGCTACCCAAACAAACGCTTTGAGAACAAATGCACACTCTGCCATCGACATTGGACAAAGCCTCCAAGAACTGCTTTAGAAATATACTTGCTAAATCTCCAGTGAAACACAGTTCAGCACCACACAAATATCCTGAGAGATTTGCTCAGAAATACTATTGCAAAATGAGTGGAAAACCCCAGTTTTCACTAAATTTCCCACGTTGCAAGTGGTGATAACCTCTACATTCAGCGAAGCAATCCAGCAGAACTACAAAAACTTCCTCCTTCTACATTTAATAGAAAAGAATAACTTCATGTATCCTGGAGGCACGTAGCTTATTTTTATAAAAGCCAGTTTCAAAGCTATTTACAAATTACAACAAGCTATGACATAAGCTTAGAGGTAAACAGTTGTAAAAAACTCGTATTAGGACCAGCCTGGGTAGACTTGGGCACAGCCACTCTCTGAATCTGTACAAGCAAAATAAAACACAAAATCCCCAAGCCTTTTAAAGTTGTGCAGGTGCATTCCCCTAAAGAATACAGCAAGTCAAGTCAGTCTTTAAAAGGGTGAAGTATTCTTGGTGGAAAGTAACAAGACCTTATCTATATTTACCCATAGAAGTAACTTAAATATACCTAACAGGTAACAGCCGGTGCTACCCTGCTTATCAGCAAAAGCCATCAAATCCAGGAGTGACAAAGATCAAAGCCAGCAGGGGAAATGTCTGGGACTGTCAAAACTGAAATTAGGAGGCTACAGTAAAGAGCCAAAAGATCTATAGATAACATGCTTAAGACCAGTTTCTTATGGAGTCTTGTTGTTCAAACTCTGCTGCAAGCAGAACTTTATACTCAGTGACTTGAAGCAGTGTTTGCTTCAGAGCTTTTCAGACATTAGAAAAGTTAACTTTTGGGTAATCCAGGTTTGGGGCTGTTTGTAGTCAAACTGCCAAGCAGCTTGAAAAGTGGGATATTTTGGATCATGCTTTTTTCCACACAGTGTGAGGTGTTGTCAGTTGCATCCCTGATTGCCTACAAGCACATGATGAGGAAAAACTCAATGCTGTAACAGGCAATCAGCCACCACAGCAAATTGACCCATTGTCAAAAGTTGCAGTTAATGACTGCTAGCAGTATAGATTATTTCTGTTAAATCAGAAAGCCTTCTATAAACTGCAGTGTCAGAGGAAAATAATCTGGTTTACAGCACAACAAAAAACCATGAAGTACCTACCGAACTTTCAGTAGATTTGCTGGCAACTTCGGCTACAAGTCTAGTTAAGAGAAGCACATATGGCACCTCCATGCCCAGGAAAGACACAGATCTAAATAAGAACAGGGAAAGAAATCAATGTTCTATTAATGACACAGAAGTTATGCTTGCCCTTTGTTAAGGAACTTTTGCTAACACATTTATTTGAATGCAGAGGCCTTTAAGCTAAATCTGCTGGAGGGGGCGTGGGGGAATGACTTACCCTAGGTTCAAGATACAAATTCGAGGCATTCAGAGTTTTCCCTCCAGCTGCAGAGGGGCAGGTTTCTGGCTATGCAGACTGTGGTTGCTAAGGAACAAGGAGCCTTATCAGTCTGCTCCAAACTGGGCCATGCAGAGACTACTCCACACCCAGGCTCTAAAAATCAATGTGATTGCAACAGAACAGTTACCGCCTGGCACCGCTGCTGATAAGCCTCCCCACAGCTACAGGCTCCTCTCTGCAGCAGTCAACTGTGATGGATTTGGAGCAGGACAAAGAGCATCCACCACTTTGGAAAGGCAGTACTGCAATCATTTTTGTTCATGACAGCACAGTCATGAAGCATTAATGAAGTCTGTTAATAAGCAGGATTTCTCAAGTGCCCAAGAACAGCTCTCCTCAACATGGAACAGAGTTATCACAGCCAGCCTTGCTCTCTTCCCCCTCAACTTTTGCCATGTAACTCCACACATCACCTAAAGGAAGTCCACATGCCTTTAATTAAATTGTTTGGATAAACTAAAAAGCACTATTGTTCAGACACCCCCTATGTCAATATTATAGTATCTGCCTATTCTGTAGTCAATGTAATGCTGGAAGCCACATCCAGTTCTCAGAACTACTGTACCTGCAGCCTGGTAGCTTTAGGAAAGCGTAGTCTTTCATATGATAAATAAAACATAGGGATAGACAAGTCTCTCTAACCAGAGCTTAACAAGAGGAAAGCACCTGAAAGGAAGGAGGGGAAAACTCCTTTAGTGACTCATTTCACAGAGATTTGTAGCTGGTTTTATTAACTAAGAATCCAGTGGAGGAGTTTTAAATGACGGCAAAAGATGTACCATGACCCCTGGCAACTTGCTTTTCTGAGGAAGAAAATCACTGAGCATTTCCTATGATTAATTTCCTTTCAGTTTTTTAAATCACAGCCTGTTGCCCCACCTTCAAAACAAGCTTGATGGGAAAACTTGTATCTTCCACCATCAGCTGAAAGCTCTAAGATCAACGACTGAGATCCTGGAAGCCAAACTCCAGCCTTAGTGCTAGAACTAATTTTGACAGTTAGTGAGGATTGGAGCGGGGGGGGGAAGGTTTGCACTGTTGTGACACCTTCCAATCTAGGCATAACAATGGATGTTGAGTCTGTCAGCAGCCGTGATTTCATCAGTTTGCATTTATATACCCTAATGTACCTATAGTAAAACAAAAAGCAGGAGATCAATGGAAGTGCAATGTTACCTGACGAAGGTTTAGACAGCACCTGATCAGCCATGCTGTTGGAAAGGGAGATTATAGGAACCAAGAAATGTAAGTAGCAAGGAGCCTTTTATACACACAGATTCAGCAGAGTGAGATATTAAGAACTAGCCAGCTTCAGGAATGGCACTGCCACCACATCCTGGGTGATAATTAAGATGGAGAATGGCAGTTTATACAACTACTGGCAAGTCACGGCACTGCCAAAACCAGCAGGGAATGTTTAGCTTTGGGAACCTTATATATATGGAAAGATACATTTACAATCTACAGCTAAGCTTATACATTGCTGACTAAAAAGCTTTGATGTTATTTTTCAACAGTACCTGAGATGACAAGAAACCTCAAATGCAAACACCTCCTTTAACAGAAGAGTGAAATCATCTCAGAAGATAAAAGGAGAGGACCTTTCTAGAATGCAGCTCCTACACCCAAGGCCGAGGACACCCAGCTGAGAGCTTTGATGGTAACCATTTCTTCTTGAGTACGTTTGAACACAACAGAAACTACTTACAAGTCAGTAAATGATTGCTGAAGCAGGCATTGCACTTATCTAGTTTGCCAGAGAGCTTTCCACTTGTGTCTAAGTGTACTTATATAAATGCTATGAATAATTCTGGTTTAGATTACATTGGGTATAAATTAATTTACACATTTAACCTCTTAAAAACAGGGGATTTCTTTTCATGCCTTTCTTGTGCAGTACAAGTAGCATAACTTTAAGGTTCTTCAAGGCAGTCCAGTGGAGTCTAATATTAAATGATGTATTTTAAACAAAAACACAGAGTTTGCCTTATTACCTATCAGTTTTCTGTAATCTATCTTCAGAAATGAGATACTGCTGCTTGGCTGAGAAACAGTTCCTCTGGTGAAAATAGAGTTGGTAAAGACATTTGCTGATACATTCTTCATTGTTTTGGATGCTAGGCAGGGATTTTGTCAATACCTTATTATTATAATAGCTGTAAATACTCAGAAAAGGCAGAAGAAAAAGGAATTTGTTTAAACAAGTATATTCTTGTTATGTAGAAAAATACTTATTTGCAGGAACAACTCATACTGAACGAGAAAACATTTGTAAAACTAACCCATTCTAAGCTCCTGAACCTCCTCTTTGTGAATGCAAATAGCTGTACAGCAAAAGCTCAATAATGGTTTTATTTCCATTCCTGAAATAAATCAAGATACTAATCAACAATACTGCCACATTTATGGGCAGATACTTGTTCACAGCCACTAGTGATTCTAACAAACTAGAACATGTGCCCTGCAGCTGTTCTGAGCAGAAATAGAACACAAGATCTATCTACCCTCAATTCATCAGCCAATATTTTTTATTTCAGTGAGAGACAGTATCTAAGCTTATATGTATAAATATCTCTCTCTATATATATCTAAGCTTATGTATACACACACACACATATATATGCGTATGTGGTTGGTTGGTTGCTTTTCTGTTTGAACCAATTTTAATCACAGGAAAATGAAAGCAGAGATGAACAAGCTGCTTTAAAACTTCCAAACATAGGAGATGTATGTCATATTTCCTCAGTTTACATTTTACTCCAGGTCCCAAAACCACTTCTTCACATCCTGCTGGATTTGCTCTCTGCCAGAAAAAATTAGAAGCCTATTAACATAATATATAATATTAATATATAATAATATATAAATAGCATCTGCCTGTATGAGACAGAAATTCAAGCTCTTTTTTTAGGCTAATACCCGGGAAAGATATCAGACAAACTTAGGCATCCATATTCTTTATATGTAATCATCTAAAAAACATATAGAGTGTTCCTAAAGTCTGGCTGTGCAAGGTTGAAAAGAGCTTGTAACTTGTAAGTCAGAGCCTAAATCAAATGCAGAACTTCCAAGACAGTAACGTTAGGTAGGGATTTGTACTGTTAATGAGTCTTCCTAAACCCATGGAATCAACACAACCCATTTTACTGCTTTTCAGCCACAAATCAATCATAACTGTTCTACCGATGATATTTTAGGCCTTAATTTTAACTTCAGAAAGGAAAAAGCCCTAAAGCCTCCAGGACATTCAGTATACACCAATACCAAGTATGCCTCTGAATGAGGTAGCTGAAGCTTCAGTTTTTAAATTAACTACGTGAATGTGATCAGGATCAGACACAGCAAAACCCACACAAATTGTTTTGCACACCCACAGCAGAACAATGTATGACCCCTAGAATATGTTTCGTGTTTGGCAGCGTTTTCTCTTTGGATTCTGGCAAAAAAAGAAAGATAAAGGCATGCACAAACGGGAGCCCAGATTAGAAAGTATTTATGCTCGAGATGCCAACACAGTTTTGGGAACACTGACTTTGTAATTAAAACGCGTATTTCACACCAGAGTTCCACATTTGAAACAAATTTCAAATCACTGTCAACTTGGATCTCAAGTGCCACCACACACAAGCTAAACAGATCAAGATTCACTAAGGGAATTCTTCCTCTCATTGCTTTTAAAAGGAACTCAATTCATGAACACTAAGCGCTAGAAGGCATTTTCCTCCCACTCCTGGAAGCAAGTGATCTTTAATTCATCTTTCTACCTACATTTCCCATACTAGAGCTGTGTATCTATTATTTCTGTTGTATCATCAGTGTCTTTCTTGCTTAAAGTGCTGTTGGAGGACTGCTTGAGTAAAGTAATCTTTTCAGGTACGTGGAAAAGGAAACACTACCTACATTTCAGGTGGTTTTATAATTCACTCAGCAGACCAAAGAATGAAACTCTATCACACTCATTCCACTGCCAAAGGCTCCTTAATTCTGATGTGACCTTGAATTAGTCACGATGAAACAGCAATACCAGGAAAGTCAAAATGCAGCCTCACAAGCAACAGACTTGTAAAGGCCTGAACTCTCACTCACCAGCTCCTTCAGAGGCATGCACCAGAACACTGCATCTTCCCCGGATAACACCCAACACTTGCGGTATGCGGTTTACTGCTGATTTCTCATTGACGCTGCAAGTGTTTCACAATAAACCTGCAAGGAAGAAGAACAGATAAGGTTGTGCTTAGAACAATCTTTTATAAATTAGAGCTGAAGGAGGACTTGCTTTTCCAGCTTTCTTAGCATGCACCCATGCAAAGAATGACTATCCCTCCCCTTACATCAAAACAACTGGGTAACAGGCCAGCAACCAGCAATTAAAACCACACGCACCTTCTGTTTCAGACAATGAAGATACCTACTTTAAGCTGGGGCTTTGCTTCAAAAGCAGTTATATGCTTAGAGCAAACACCAATTAACACCAACAACGAATTTCTTGTTGTTCTGTCAACAATAAGTCTGGCAGTAGTGCATTCTGCTGTTACAACAGTAGTGGCAGCCTCTAAAAACAGAGCAGAACTGAATACAAGTGCAATCTGGTTGCCAATAGCGTAACTATACACTACAGGGAAAGATGCTTTGGAAGCTGAAGAGATGCATGGCCTGAATAGTACAATAAAACTCTGTGTTATAGAAGCACATATTTGCTTGTGTATCCAGAAAAATAAAAAGCCCAAACCCACAACCCTAAAAACTCTCCGATTGACAAAAAACTGGTGAACTGAGTTAGTTTATTAGGAAAAAAGTATCTAAGGTTTTATTGGACCAAAAGTTTTATTTTAAAAGTTTATTATAAAGTTTTATTATTATAAAGTTTTATTATCTCCTATGGAGCCAGGCTGAGAGAGCTGGGCTGGGTCAGCCTGGAGAAGAGAAGGCTCCTGAAGGGGAGACCTTAGAGCAGCTCCAGTGCCTAAAGGGGCTGCAGGAAACCTGGAGAGAGACAAGGGCCTGTAGGGACAGGCCAAGGGGAATGGCTTGAACCTGCCCGAGGGGAGACTGAACTGAGCTCTTAGGCAGAAGCTCTTCCCTGTGAGGGTGCTGAGGCGCTGGCACAGGGTGCCCAGAGAAGCTGTGGCTGCCCCATCCCTGGCAGTGTTCAAGGCCAGGTTGGACACAGGGGCTTGGAGCAAGCTGCTCCAGTGGAAGGGGTCCCTGCCCCTGGAACTGGGTGAGCTTTAATGTCCCTTCCAACCCAAACCATTCTGGGGTTCTATGTTACGGAGACGGTTCGCTGCCTCGAGAACGCCGCACCTCAAGGTGAATCCCATCATGAACAAGCGCCCTTGGTACAGCTGG